GAATTCTATACCCAGCCAAACTATTAATCAAATATGATATTTTAATCAAGTAAAGACATTTTCAGATATTTCAAAACCTTTACTTGCCAAATATACTTTCTCGGGAAATACTGAAGCATGTGAAAAGAGGGAGGGGGAGGAAATGGGAGCCAGGGAGTAGAGGACTCAACATAGGAGAGCCCAAGGGAGCCCTGAGGGTCCGGGCGGTCCCAGCACGACCGTCCTATGTGGCGCAGGCATTGGGGGCCGTGGGAGAGCTGTGAACTGGAGAGATTGTTGACAGAGAGGAACTGGATTGAGAGGAACTTGGCAGGTCTGGTGGAGAGTTTGAGAAAGAATTTGTGTTGAATACAGAAAAACTTAAGCAAATTTTTAAAATGAGGAAATGTTTAACATAAGGGGGATTAACTTTGACCAGGAAAGAAATGTAATCATATACAAATATGGCTTCACTGTGAACAGTGTTGATCTAATCAAAATAACATGATCACTGAATGTTGGTATTAACTGAATACTGTATTATGACTGTGGTGGGAGAATGGAGGGCCAGTGTATGGCTTGGAGGAAAGGGAAGGATGTAAAATCCAAATTCTCATCTTTCATAATAGGAAGTTAATTGATAACATCTTACATTGAGTTAGGAGTATACACATATTGTTCAGAAATAAGGGAAGTAAATAGCAGAAGAAAAAACTGAGTTGAAAGAGGTTGTCTGTAGGGAGCAGGCATGAGGGCTGGGGAGGGGTGGAGCAAAGGGCTGTTGTTGTTTTAGCTATAAAGAATGATATGTCTTGTGAAATTATGTACTTTGGTAAGTATACATTTTTTAAAAAACTTTAAAGAGTGAGCAGGAATTAGGGAAATGAATAGACCGAGTTTTAAAAAATCACATTTAGAGATGGGAATGATTAATTTAATTCCAGATGGCTGAGGCCTATAATTTCCTCACTTTACCCACAAGAAGACACATAGCCAACCTTAAAGGATCTATTTCAGTTGCTGGGGACATGGGAAAATGGACTAACCAAAATCCACAGATTCCTTCCCATCACCCAATAACTACAAGGAAGGTTTGCCCCTGGGAGCGCCGATTCCCATTTGTCAGTTCTGAATGCTTGTAAACCCCCTTCCAAAGGGACTGGGCCTTGTTTTAGATGCTTGGAAATCAGCGAAAGAGATTACCAGGTGTTCCTGCACTTCAGCGTACTAGGCTTGGCATAATTGTCAGGGCTGTTTTACAAGTCTATAGGGACACAGGTTAACTTGTAGCTTTTTGTCTATTGGAAACACGCATTAACTTCTGTCCCATGGGACAGATAACCCCAAAGGTTATAATTTATAGCCCTGCTGGATATGTTCCAGTTCTGTATCTAAACCAGCAATGTATGTATGAAATTGCCAATATATACCTAGTTACACAAATGCTTGTAGCGTTTTATTAGTCACAGCATCTTAATTGTTCCCTCATTAGTTAAGGAGTTGGCTAAATCTTTGACATTTTCATCTTCTATTTGCAAGAGAGTCATGATCTTACCATTTTGAAAATTATACTTTAACGAAGAGTAAGTAAAATCTATATAAACATTTTTTTAAAACTCCTATTCTTGGAACTAGCCTTACAAACCCACACTTACAGAAATAAACACTTTTTTTTTAAAACAAAGCAACTAGGTAGAAGGAATTGAGTGGGTTTTATCTTCTTTCTTGTTCTGGTTGGAGGTGCCTGTTAGACTTAATCAGTCAACCAAAAAAAAAAAGTTTGCAAAGAGAGCCTTCTAGACTCATAGAATGGTCCAGTCTTCACAGCCATTACAAAATAAATGGAAATAAAATAAAATCTTTTTAAAAATAAAGGTTGGAGGCAGTGACTTCTCTTAGAGTGTAAAGGAAGACAAGATGATGCTCCAGGTTGGTGGGAAAGGCTTCTTCCCCAAGCAGGTGCCAGCTGGACCTGGGACTTGAAAGATGGGACAGGGAAAGAGGAGGGCACAGTGTGAGCAAAAGCACAGAGGCCTGGCTGAGGAAAGCCTGTCGGAGGATGGAGAGCTTGAGAGCACAACAAGGAGACTACACTCTCTCTATCCCATTCATTTGATAATTAACAATATATTAACTCATTTCATTCATTCAGTATCTTTTGGTATATTTTAGTCCATTTGGGCTGCTATAACAAAAATATCATAGACTGGGTGGCTTTTAAACAAAAGAAATTTATTTCTCATCGTTCTGGAGGCTGGGAAGTCCAAGATTAAGCTGCTGGCATATTTGATGTCTCGTGAGGACTCACGTCTTGGCCCGTGGACAGCAATCTTTTCACTGTGTTCCCACATGGCAGAAGGGGCGAAGGAGTTTTCTGGGGTCTCTTCTGTAAGGGCACCAATCCCCTTCATGAGGGTTCCACCTTCATGAACTAGTTACCTCCCAAAGGCCCCACCTCCTGTTACCATCGCTTTAGGGATTAGGTTTCAACAGATAAATTTTAGAGAGACAAAAACATTCAGTCTATAGCATTGTGCTTTTAAATTAGATTGTAAACATTTTTGTATTACTGTAAGTATTCTTATAAGAAAAAAAGATACCACAGACTGGTGCCTCAAACAGCAGGAATTTTTTTCTCACAGTTCTGGAGCTAGAAGTCCAAGATCAAGGTGCTGAGAGGTTGGTTTCTGGTGAGGTCTCTCTCCTTGACTTGCAGGTGGCTGCCTTCGCGCTGTGTCCTCACATGGACTTTTCTCCGTGTGCCTGGTGTCTCTTCCTCCTCTTATAAGGACACCAATCATATTGGGTTAGGGCACAGCCTAATCCTAATCATTTAACCTAATTACCTCCTCAAAAGTCCTATCTTCAAATACCGTCACATTCTGAGGTGTGCAAGGCGGTAAGACGTCAACATATACATTTTCGGGGTCACAATTCTGTCCATAACACATGATAAAAACTCAAACAGTACAAAATGATACACTTCGCAAAATACGTCTCCCAACCACACTGCCTCCAGTCCCATATCCTCGAATGCACGTTATCATTCACATTCTACATGCCTCTGAATGTAAGTTCTTTGAAAGCTGAGACCATGTGGCGTGACCTTTACAAAAGGGAGGGGTGGGCCACATGCTCAGGCCTGCAGAGGGAGGTGAGCACCAGACATGCCAGGCCAGCACTGCCTCTGGCCTCTGCCCTCTGCCCTCTCAGAATGCATGGGGCAGGGAGAAGAGGAGCACCTGGTGTCTGCTGACAATACACCTCTGGCTGCAGTTCTAGACAGAGAAAAAAACGGGGAGGAACCGTCATCCTACAGAACTCACACAGGGAAGCGGGAGAAAGACAGGGAAGCAACAAACAAACCACACCAAATTAAGTGGCCAAAGTGTGTAAACCTAGTGGACAAAAGAACATGTCGGTTACTGTGTTTACATTTTGAAAACTTCTTTAATTTGTAGATCTGCATAAAGTTGTTTTAATAAACAGCTTTATGAGATATAATTCACACGTCATAAAATTCACCTGTTTAAAGTATACAATCCAGTGGATTTTTGTATATTCACAAGGTTGTACAGTATTACTGCTATCTAATTTTAGAACATTTTCATCAAATATTCTAAAAGAGGGCCTGTGTCCATTAGAGTGAGTCCCATTCCGCGTTCCTCCCAGTCCCTGGCAACTGCCAATCTGCTTTCTATAGATTGGCCTATTCTGGACAATCCATATACATGGATTCACACAATATGTTGCCTTTCGGGTCTGGCTTCTTTCAATCAGCATAATGTTTTCAAGACTCACGCATGTTGCAGTGTATCAGTGCTTCATTCCTTTTTAGGGCCAAATGTTGTTGCATTATTTGGATATATACCATATTTTGTTTATCTGTTCATGAGTCAATGGACATTTGGGTTGTTTCCACTTTTTAGCTATTATGAATAATGCTGCTATGAATATTCATGTACAAATTTTTTTGTGGACATATGTTTTCAGTTCTCCTGGGCATATACTTAGGAGTGGAATTGCTGGGTCAAGTGGAAACTCTGTTTAACTTTTTGAGGAACTGTCAAACTGTTTTCCACAGCCACTCCGTTATCTCACATCTCTACCAGCAAAGTATAAGGGTTCCAATTTCTCCACATCTTACTAACAGTTGTTATAGTCTTTTTGATTATAGCCATCCTAGTTGATGTCAAGTGGTATTTCATTATGGTTTTGATTTACATTTTCCTGATGGCTACTGATGTTGAGTATCTTTTCAAGTGCTTATTGGTCATTTGGATAGCTTCTTTAGAAAACTATTCAGATCCATTGCTCGTCTTTATTTCTTTATTTTTTATTTATTTTTATTTTTTTGAGGAAGATTAGCCCTGAGCTAACTGCTGCCAATCCTCCTCTTTTTGCTGAGGAAGACTGGCCCTGAGCTAACATCCATGCCCATCTTCCTCTACTTTATATGTGGGACACCTACCACAGCATGGTGTGCCAGCGGTGCCATGTCTGCACCTGGGATCTGAACTGGTGAACCCCGGGCTGCCAAAGCGGAACATGCGAACTTAACAACGGCACCACTGGGCCGGCCCCCATTGCTCATCTTTAAATTGGGCTGTCTTGGGCTAGCCCAGTTGCATAGTGGTTAAGTTTGTATGCTGTGCTTTGGCGGCCCAGGGTTTGCAGGTTCAGATCCCCAGCACGGACCTTTGCACTGCTCATCGGCCACATTATGACAATGTCCTACATACAAAATAGAGGAAGATTGGCATATATGTTAGCTCAGCAACAATCTTCCTCAAGCAAAAAGAGGAAGATTGGCAATAGATGTTATCTCAGGGCCAATCTTCCTCATCAAAATAAATAAATAAATAAAAAGTAAAAATAAATTGGGCTGTCTTTTTATTTTTGAGCTGTAATAGTTCTGTGTATTATATTCTAGATACATGTCTGTCTTAGTCTGCTCGGGTTGCCATAACAAAATACCACAGAATGGGCAGCTTAAACAACACAAATTTATTTTCTCACAGATCTGGAGGCTGGAAGTCCAAGATCAAGGTGCCAGCGGGATGGTTTCTGGTGAGACTTCTCTCCTTGGCTTGTAGACAGTGTCCTCATGGCCTTTCCTCTGTGCGCCTGCATCGCTGTTGTTTCTTCCTTTTATAAGGACATCAGTCACATTGGATTAGGGCCCACCCTTATGATCTCATTTAACCTTAATTACCTCTTTAATAAAGGCTCTAGCTCAAACACAGTCACATTGGGGGTTAGGGCTTCAAAATATGAGTTTTGGGGGTACATAAGTCAGTCCATAACAAAGTCCTTTATCAGATGTATGATTTGCAAAAATTGTCTCCCATTGTGAGTATCTTTTTACGTTTTTTTAAAGATTTTATTTTTCCTTTTTCTCCCAAAGCTCCCCAATACATAGTTGTGTATTTTTAGTTGTGGGTCCTTCTAGTTGTGGCATGTGGGACGCCACCTCAGCATGGCTTGATGAGCAGTGCCAAGTTGACACCCACGATTCGAACTGGCGAAACCCTGGGCCACCAAAGCAGAGCGAGGGAACTTCACCACTTGGCCATGGAGCCAGCCCCATCTTTTTACTGTTTTTAAAGTCTTTTGAAGCTGAACAAAAACAAAAGTTTTTAATCTTTATGATGTCCAGTTTATCTATTTTTTCTTTTTGTTCCTTATACTTTTGGAGTCATGTGTAAGAAACCATTGCCTAAATCCAAGATCATGAAGATTTATACCCATCTGTGCTTCTAAGAGTTCTATAGTTTTAACTCAGAGTTATGTCTTTGATCCATTTTGAGTTAATTTTTGTATATGGTATGAGGTAGGGGGTCCAACTTCATTTTCTTGTATGTAGATATCCAATTGCCCCAGAACAAATTTGTTGAAAAGACTATTGTTTCGCCATTAAATTGTCTTGGCACACTTGTTGAAAATCAATTGACCCTAAAGGTAAGAGTTTGTCCTTGAACTTTCAGTTCTCTTCCATTCATTTCTATGTTATGCTTATACCGTACTACACTATCTTAATGGTTGCAGCTTTGTAGTCAGCTTTGAAATTGGAAAGTGTGAATCCTCCAACTTTGTTCTTCTTTTTCAAGATTGTTTTTGCTACTCTGTGTCTCTTGCATTTCCACCGGAATTTGAGATCAGCTTGTCAATTTCTGCAAAAAAGCTAGCTGGGATTTTGACGGGACTTTCGTTGAATAAGTAGATCGCCTCGGGTACCGTTGGTATCTTAACACTAAGTCTTCCTATCCATGAACATGTGATGTCTTTCCACTTATTTAGGTCTTTGATTTCTTTCAACAATATTTGTAGTTTTCAGCATACAGATCTTGCACTTCTCTTGTTAAATTTATTTCCAGGTATTTCATTGTTTTATGTACTAACCTAAATGGAATTTGCATAAACATTTTTTAATGGGATTATATTGCTAAGTGTTTATGGGAAATAGAGTTACAGTTTTAAAAGAAAAAAAAGTGGTTCCCTTATAGTCATAATCATTAAAAGTTCCCTGCAAAATCTCCCCTTTAGCTTTTCCTCACTTTGCTCTCATTTGCTTTTCTTTTCTGCCCACTCTTTGCCTGAATACGCTCACTTAAGACGTGTATGAACAAGCTCAAACCAGCCTCTCCAGAGTGAACAAAAGGAAAGGAAAGGGGAACAAAGAAGTGAGAAGAACAACTGTTTCTGTTTGCTTAACAGCCGGTAAGGGAGGCCTTTGTTCCCTAGCGTTGTGCACATGAACTGCACCGTCTATGACATCATATTCCAAGCTTCTTCCTTGAAAAAAAGTCATGGAATAAAATTGCCTAAACAGAAACTTTTGAGAAACATGCTTGCAGAAGTCAAGGACTTTCTGGGATTTGCATTAATGCTGTATTGTCCTGCTGATTTTTTCTTTTCTTTTCTTTTCTTTTTTGAGGAAGATTAGCCCTGAGCTAACATCTGCTGCCAATCTTCCTCTTTTCGCTGAGGAAGACTGGCCCTGAGCCAACATCCGTGCCCATCTTCCTCCACCTTATATGTGGGACACCTACCACAGCATGACTTGTCAAGTGATGCCATGTCTGTACCCGGGATCCGAACTGGCAAACCCCGGGCCACTGAAGCAGAACGTGCGCACTTAACCGCTGCGCCACAAGGCCAGCCCCCTGGTGACTTTTAATTACGGCCAAGGCTGACCTTGAGCAGAGGAGAGAAGGCTGCCATCCGTGCAGCCTGTTTTCGTGGACTTAAAGAACTTCCTGCTTGGTCATTTATATCCTTTCCCTGATACAGCTTGCTACATACAGACCCCAACTTCTGGAATTAGAGGTTGATTCCTTTGGCTCGAGCCCAGAGTTAAATTGCAGCTACCTCTGGGGTGGGTTGTTTAGTAAACCTTAGAAGTGCTTTACACCTGCGTGTATATACTCCTCAGATCAAGTCTCTAGAGCATTGTCTGATAGAGAAAGGGGCAGGAGGAATCTGACCGTGAGCAGGGCACAGGGTTTGCCAGGACAGAGCAAACTTACTCATTTTATCCAAAACACCTGGTCTGATCCTGACCGTAACCCACTTGTCAGATCACGCTCGAGGTATAGAGGACAATGCAAGCACTTGATTTAAATCATTAGATCCAGCTTCCTCCTCCTCACATTTCGCTGTTGACGAGCAACACTTCTAGCCAGAACTAAATGTCTACAGTCTTGTCTTTCTTGGCCACCCGTGTATTAAGTACAAAGAAACCACAAAATGGCCTAACGAGAAAGAAGAGGACGAAGTTAGACAGTCGGCAACCTCGGTCTCCTGATACGTGAGAGCTGACTGCTTTAAAAGAGTCAAGACTGGATTTCTTGCAGTTTTATGTCGCAATCCAGGTGTGTGGTGCTATAAATCAAACCACTTCTTACCCGTATGCTAAACCAAAATGTCACAAGCCTCCTAAATAATGTGCAATGTGGAAATAACATCTAGATGTAACTCCATGCTTGTCCAAGGTGTCGTTCTTCTGCTATGTTCACCAAAATTCCAACACCAAAATTTATCTCCAACCACTAATATAACTTCAGGAAAAGGCCAGGCAAACTTGTAGGTAAAAGAAAAGCAGAAAGCCCCCAAAAGTGCTCTAGGCTTGAATCTTTTTTTCTTTTAAGATTTTATTTTTTTCCTTTTTCTCCCCAAAGCCCCCTAGCACATAGCTGTATATTCTTCGTTGTGGGTCCTTCTAGTTGTGGCATGTGGGACGCTGCCTCAGCGTGGTTTGATGAGCAGTGCCATGTCTGCGCCCAGGATTCGAACCAACGAAACACTGGGCCGCCTGCAGCGGAGTGTGAGAACTTAACCACTCGGCCACGGGGCCAGGCCCTGGGCTTGAATCTTTAACATTGTTTCCTGTGTTACCTTAGCTGAGATGTGTATGAGGGTTTTGTCCATCAGAGTCGTCTAAGGCTGCGTCCTGTCCAGGATATCCTGAGAACTCTCTCTTAGCTAACAGATTTGTGGTTTTCATCACCGTGAGGCTGGGCTTTATCTTCTTTGACAATCACAAAAATAGCATTTTAGTGCCACTAATGGGAAAGCTATTTCTTGCGTGTGCTTTCTTTAACTGGACATATAGCACAATTATCCTAATACCTTCACAGAAGTACTTGACTTTCAAAACAGAGCCACAGGAAGCTCACACTTGATCCAAAGAAATAAACTTCGAATGCGGTCCCAGTCCTTCTGACTCCATGCTCTCACATCCCTGGGAGATGCGGGAGGGGCAGTCCTCAGAGTGAAAGGCTGGCCCTCCTGGGAAGTTTGGAGAATTCTGAGGGGTCGTGGACACACAGGAGTGAGCTGAACTCTGGGACCTAGTTTTCCCTTCAGATGTCCCCGTTTTGATTAAAGCCATCATTATCTACCAAGGCAGAGACCGCGGGCTGTCCACCAAATCCAGTCCTCCCTTCTTCCTGGACTCAAGGCTATTTCCCAGCCTCCTTTGTACCCTGGAGTGGCCATGAGCCCAAGTGCTCACCAGTGGAAGTGAGAAGGAGTGATGGGGGCCATTTCCAGGCCTGGACTGTAAAGGTTCCATGCCTTTTCCCCCTTCCTTCTAGTTGGATGGTACCAACCTGGACCTCTTTGGAAGCCATGTACGGGAAATGGCAGGGCGACCATCCCCCTGAGTGACTGTGTGGAGCAGAGCCCTGTCTGACCCCTATGTGGGACTGTTAGTGAGAGAGAACTATCTTTCTGCCTTGAGCCGTTGCATGGGCCTCTTGTCACGGCAGTTTAGCCTTTTACTGGATCAGTGACATCCTACTCATCATTAACTTTAGTGTTCACCCTCCTTAGTATTTCCCACCTCCTCCTCTCTCTACCTCTGTTGCCACTGCCCCTGTCGTCTCTTATCTGGATGGTCACAACAGCCTCCTGACTGGGAGGTAGATGCTGTGTTCACGCCACTCAGAGACGCGGAGCCCTGCACACGCGGCCCCGGCTTTGCTGAGCTCATCGCCCTCACACTGCTGTTTCCTCCGCCAGAAAGGTCCACTTCTCTCCCCAACCCTTCATCTCCTTTACCTCTGGCAAACTCCTGCTCGTCCTCAGCTTTATGGGAAGCTTCCTCTGATAGCCTAGAACTCTCACATGTGGTTGTCACTGTCTTGTCAGCTCCTGGAAGCAGGTCTGTGTTCTAGTCACTTCTCTCCCCACTGCCTCACCTGGTGGTGCCCTCTGCAGGTGTTTAATGAATGAATCAGTGAATGAGTGACAGTTTCTGAGCACGCTAACAGTCCCATTTGATGCTACCATCTGAAGTCAGGGCTCTCTCCTCCAAAGGCTGTCCCTCTGGCTTTGGCCACTGCCCCTCTGTTTTCACTGCAATGCCAGAAGTTTCTTCTGTTACTTTAAGTGCACAAATGATAAAATTAGGAGAGCTTTACGTGCAGAGCTGTTAACCACTTAAGTTCCCCCATGCAGGGTCATCCACACTTCCCCTGGTCTGGTCTTAGTTCCCTCGGCTCCTCATACACTCAGAGGCTAGGATGGGAGGAAAAGGCAGTCTGACTGCACAGAAGGTCTGAAACGTGGTGCATTTTCCAGTCGGGGGCAGTTTCCTGTCGGAGGGTGCTTGTCTCCCTCTACAGGAAGCCATCAACCTTCAGGTTCCCCCTCCCACATCCAGTCCCTCGGCTGAGCAGGGCAGGGATATGTGGAAGAGGTGGTTCCTCGTCTCTGACCCCAGCTTCTGCAGAGAGTTAGCAGCAGTGCGAGCTAAGGGACCTGCCGAGGAGACCTGGCGGGTGTGTGGTGAGCACAGTGGAAGCGAAGCCCCCTGTTGCCCGCCATGCCCGTGGTGTCCTCGCCACAGCACATGCAGCCCTTTCACTCCTTAAGGGAGCAGGCCCTGATGACAGGCTGCTCGGGGCTTGAGGATGGACGAGGACAACTTATTCTGACCACATCCCACACATTGAGATGAGGAACTCCTGACCCTGCAGTCTCCTCTCTGGGGCGGACGACTAGCTATGGCTCCCCTGGGAGAAGAGGTGCACACCCTCTCACCTGCTCAGTAAAGCAGTGAAGAGAAACCGAGAAGGCAAACGTTTCCTCCGTCTGTGACCTACCCCTTAGACAACGCCCCTCAGTTTCGTCAAGAGCCCTCTCCTTCTTTGAGCCCGTAGGCATTTTTTTTTCTGTTTCAATAATAGCAAGAAGTTTTTATGATGTGAAACTGCTCATAAGCCATTTTCCCAGATCCGGTGATTATGTTGATCACTTGTGGGTTTGTGACAAATAACCAGAAAGAAGTCCTTCCACAAACAGAACTCACTGACCATAATCTCTGCTTTTACAGAAAAGGAAGACGGCGAAATTGAAGCACTAGCTTTCTAAACTATTGGTGTTAGCAAGTCATTTACGAATATTATTCAGACTGTAGAAATGACTTATGGTCAACTTCTGTCTCCGTAGTGGGTGGTAAGGGCCGGGGGTCAGGAAACACGGGCTCTTGCTCAGCTCTGCCACCAGTTCCAATTCCACGGAGCGTCCAGCCTCTCACTCAGGTTGCTTGTTTCTCTGTTTATGTAGGGCCCTTTGGGTTCTCCCCAAGGGGAGGGCTGAGGGCCTCCTTACAGGAGATGTGGGACCCCAGACCACATTGGGGCTGGATGCAGAAGGATGCCCTGACACTCAGTGCTGTTGTCCAGTGCCTTAAAATAACCATCAAAGCCCAAACAGGGAGATGGTGAAATTCTTTGGAGGAAAAAATCCTGCTGAGCCTTGGTCTTCGTGCTCTCTCTGATTTGTTGTGAAAGCGCTCATTGATCTCCTTTCGCATGTCCTGGTTTTTAATTGCTTCAGTGGTACCCCAAGATCTCCTTTCCTCCTGAATCCCTCTTAAAAGTCTTAACTATTGAATTTCACGGTCAGGCGAAGGTTATGAGCAGGATTGTTTTACTGCCTTTCTTTGATTAGTGCTTAATTCTGTTTCAGAGGAAAACTACCCTTCCTGACTTGCCCCACCACACGTAACACAGCTGACAAAAAGACATTTGCAGAATCATCAACTTTTAATGATTCTGCTGAAATTGGCCCCCTCGGAGGCGGCTAATGGAGAATGTGTGTCTGCTCTGAGATTCTCAGCCGGTCCCCAAGGTGGCTCAGGTTCTTACCTGGCCTCTTTATCAAATCTGGCCATCAGATAGCATCGGATTGATTTCACCTGGGGCCCTTTGGCAGAGGAAGCAATCAGAACCGGTTGGCTGAGGGTTTAAGGTGAGCTTGAAAATGTTTGAGTCCTGGAAAGAAATGTTATGGGCTCCAAAATATGAAGAGAAAATGGTAAAATCAAATTAATATTTATTTCTACCACCAAATTGTAAAATCTTTAACATCTTTTGTAGCAACATGCATTTAATGTGGGATAATGGCTCCTGGAATGTGCCTGCTAGTGTGTGGCAGAGGGAACCCGGG